CTTAAAAGGAAGCCTGTGAAACTGCAGCTAAGGAACAGAGGCAGTGTGGTATAGTGGTTAGGGTGCTGGACTGGAAGCCACTACTGGAAACTGGGCTGAATGATTTTCAGCCAATTACTTTCTCTGAGTCATAGACTGGGAAGTGGGATATTTCTACCAGCTCACATTAGACCGGCATGGTCTAATTATAGTCTGTGATCTTCAGTGACAAGTCCTTCATCTTGCTTTGGATTATTTCAGGTTGATGAGGAAAAATTACATGTTTGTGTAGGTGCACTAAGAGAGTCCTTACAGGTAGTATCTACACTAAAATACAGACAGTCCTTACTTGGCAACCACTTGTTCAGTTTGCCATTTGCAAGTTATGACAGAAAAGACACCACAAGAATTCAGGATTTAGCCATTTCAGGATCATTTAACCCAGTGTTTTCAACCTTGGCAACTTGAAGATGTCCGGACTTCAACTCCCAGAATTCCCCAGCCAGCATTCGCTGGCTGGGGAATTCTGGGAATTGAAGTCCGGACATCTTCAAGTTGCCAAGGTTGAAAAACACTGATTTAACCCATTGTCCGCAAAGCTGGCTGGAGAATTCTGGGAGTTGAAGTCCGCAAGTCTTAAAGTTGCCAAGTTTGTGGACCCCTGCTTTACATTGCTATAGGATCCAGCGAGAAGAACGTCAACTCGCAATACAAAAGGCAGAGAAGTGATCCCGTTTCTTTCAGATACACATCGGGATGTCTGTTTAACGAAACCAAGGCACATTTGGCCGCTAATTCAAAGAGAAGCCGTCCGCCCTACCGGACGCGCAGGTCGGAAGCGTCTCTTTAAAGGTGGCGCTCAGTCGGTCTGAATTCCCAGAGGCAGATCTGCCTTCCTTCTCTCTCCCCCCTCCCCCAGCAATCTTCCCCGGCACGTGAAAACTTTGTCGGGCGAGAGGAGCCGCCGGAGAAAAACTATCCGAGAGCCGCAGCAGACAAAAGGAGGCGGCGGCGGAGGCACGACGTGGTTGGGGCTGGAGAAAAAGGCTGCGCTTTCCTCGAGCCCCCCCAGGTCCCCACCGCGGCGGCTCGCCGGCACTGCGCGCCGTGGGCGACTGGAGCCGCAGGGAGTGGAACCTCGCGGACAGGCGGACGGGCGTTCGCCCGGGAAATGTGCGAGCGTCCGCCGTCCGCGGCTCCGGCTCTCGCCCCTTTGGGGACGTCGGTTTGCAGGCAGCCGAACTGCAGACTTTCGCCTTTTGCTCCGAGTGATCCGGGAGGCGCCTTCACAAGCGGCTGGGAATCCGACCGAGGTGGGCTGATGGATGCTGGCTGCTGCTGCTGCCGGTGCCGAGGCGCGGGTTAAAGCGAGAAGCTCGGGCAACTGTCGTCGGTGCGAAGGATGCCCGCGTTGAAGCGGCTGCTGAGAGCCAGGCTGGGCTGCCGCCGCCGCCCCGCCGCGCAGTGCCTCTTCTGGGGAGCGTGCTGGGCGGTAGGGGGCGGCCTCTTCGCCTTCTTCTTCTTGGCGCACGGGGGCGTCTTCTCCGGCCGGTGCACGGACGAGCAGAGTCGCCGGATCCTGGCCAAGCTGGTAGGTGGCAGCAGCGGGAGTGGCGGCTGCAGGACCTGGGAGCTGGCCACCAAATCGGGCCGGTGACCTTTAAGGGCTGTCCTGGCAAAGGACGCCGCCTAGAACCAGCTGTTCTCCAGTGGTTCAGGGCCACCGAGATGTGCCTTAAAGATCATCCCCCAGCGACTTGCATTGGCAGTGGGTCCTTCCCTTCTCTCTCCCCCCCCACCCCGCCCCCGAGTTCGGTGAGAAATTACTCACCAGGTGGGAGAATCATTTTCTGAGGCAGTAACACTGAGGTTGTTAAATAAGGGGAAACCCCAACGACTGGCCTCCAGAAGTTGTGGGGGGCTCCAACACTGGAGGATTGGACAGCCAATAATCTGGCATGGTGCAAGGTCTCCTCCTTGAGCACAGGGTTGGACTAGATGACCACCAAGGCCCCTTCCAACTGTTGTTCTGTAAGGTTGTTCTGCTTGAGCATGGGGTTGGACTAGATGACCTCTGAGTTTCAAGCTGGTAAAGGCTGAAATATAACTGGGAAAGTCTGGACTGAAGTTTCCATTCCACCATGCAGTTCATTCACTAATAAAGGAGAATTTTTGTAGCTCAGGTTTGACATGTGGAGTCCTTGGGGGTTCTCTGAGCTTGCTTGTTTTCTTGCAGATGTTTCATTACCCAAACTAGGTAGCATCATCAATGCTCGCAAGGAGTGTAGTTTGCTGTGAGTTTATATTCTCATGGCCACCAACACTGACAGTATATAAATTGACAGCAAACTACACTCCTTATTAGCACTGATGATGTTACCTAGTTTGGATAATGAAATGTCTGCAAGAAATAAAGCAAGCTCAGAAGCACCACCGATCCTTCAGTTCATTCACTCCATAGCCATCCTTAATTCTGAACTCAGAGCACTTTACTGGATTGATGTGAAATTGAAATAGGGAAATGGCTTGACAGTCATATGTCCTTCCATGAGAATTAGGCATGACAAAAATGATAATGCATTAAATAAATGGCACATATTGCATTAATTCAGTGCTGCTGCATAGTGTAAATGATGGGTGCCCAATCTTGACAACTTTAAGACTTGTGGACTTCAGCTCCCAGAATTCCCCATTTGGCTGGGCATTTTGGGAGTTGAAGTTCACACATCTGGCTGGGGAATTCTGGGTCTAAAGTTGCCACGGTTGGACACCTGAGTCTAAATGACTGTTCTTGGATAAGGATATTTAGGATATCTGAATAGGATAAGGTATGCAGCATGACAAGAATGGGGTGGAGTTTGTGTGGATTTTCTCCATGGAAAACTCCAACCCAGAGCTATTAACTCTAAGACGTAGGGTGTTAATTCGACAGTTAAGAAAGGTTATGGGCAGAAATGTATATTCATCAGCATTGCAAGAGAAATGAAGATGACAGAACTATCAGGAATGGCAAAATTAACTTGTTTGTTTAGAGAAGGATTGAAGCCATTTGCGTAAAAATGAAAAAGTGAACTTGTGTTCTATGGTTCTTATGATTAGACATATGATTAGACAGGGTAGATTATAGAAAGAAAAGTTAGACAAACTAATTTTAGAGAAAGAGCTTAAAATATATTTGTACTTACAACTGATGTGTAAAATATTGGAAGTTTTATATATTTATTTATTTACGGTATCTTTTCTTGCACTTTCTGCTTTCTCTTTGCTTTATTTTTCTTTTTTCTTCCTTATTTTATATTAGTTTGCCTTAGGTTTTTTATCTTCTTGTTCAAAAGTTTTAATAAAAATTATGTTAAAAGCAACTGCATTATTAGTGATCGGAGACCCCTTATGGACTTTTTGCTTAAGGGTTGCTTATGGAAACAAGGAAATTATGATGTAACCTTAGAGGGCAAAATATAAATGTAACTGCTGCTACGAAGATTGGAAGCTACTTCTTTCTTACTATTTTTTCTTTTCCCTATTTCTTCTGCTTTATTTCTTTTTCGCGTTCTTTTCTTTATTCTTCTCTTCAATTCAAAATGTGTTTTGTTTTTGTTCTGTTGGAGAATAGACATTTTGTAAATCATATTGAGAGCTGGGTTAGAGGGAGCCTATATATTTGATAATGAGATAAAATATTGATAATAAGTCAATAAGATAGGTAGTCCTCATTTAACAATTGGTTATGTAGTGACTGTTCAGTTATGACAATCCTCCAAAAATGAACTGATTAACTGATTACAAAGTTATTGTGATGGCTACACATTTTCATGGTCACATGATCGCATTGTGTGTGCTTGGTAACTGGCTTGCATTTATGGCTTTGTGAAGCATCCCATGGTGACATGACCATAATTTTCAGCATTTTTTGCTAGTTTCCAGCATTTATTTCTGGTTTACGGCAAAACAGTCCATTGCATATAATGGATTTGTTTAACAACCACTGTGTTTGCTTAATGACTGCAACATTCTTTAATGACCATGGCATTCGCTTAATGACTGTCATGATAAAGGCTGTGAAATCGGGTGCAGTCATGTGATGACCTGCTTAACGACTGCCACAACTTACAACCATAATTACATTATCGAGTGCTGCTACCTTTAATCATTTAATTGTTTAAAAATCCAAACCTTGTGCAGTGGCTCTCTCACTACTTTGAGCTCATCCTTGTAGCAGTGGTGGATTCCGGATCCCCATGCAACCGGTACAGTACAATGGGGTTCAGCGTCCACCACATGAATGCGCCTGGTGCGTGCATGCATCCTTACCTCTTGCGAAGCCTTTGCGAGCCTCCGCGACACTCCCGCTGATCGGTGGAGTGTCGCTCAGCTGCTGTGTGCTCCGTGCGAGGAAGCGCCGAAGAGCTCAAATACAGATAAGGAGCTTGGGCAAGTGGGCCCTCCGGAGCACCATACCGGAATGGTACCCGGTAACTCCGGGCAGGCACCATACCGGGGCGCACCACCTGCAACCCACCACTGCCCTGTAGCCAGCGAAAGAGTTGAACCCCTTTTCACTGCTTTTGTTTTTTAAAAAGTCAGACTTGTGTTGCCAGAAAGAAGGCATGTGCTACTTAATATTAAAAAAAATACAACAGGTTCCAATAAATGGCTCTCTACTATCTGCTTTCTCTGCTTTATGGTATGCAGGTCCTTCCCCTCCACTCCAGTCTGCCAAATGCAACTGATTACTTTTTCACAATGCTAAATGGTGACCCAAATACGATCAGGAATGAATCTTTTGAGCAGAGGCTGGCTAAGAACTCCCGAAAGCTTGATGCTCTGAATAGGAGGCTTGTGAATATATTGCCATGAAAAGAGACAAGGCCTGTAGTCCATGCTGATGAAGTTTTGCCTGGATTTTGAAAGGAAAAGGGGGGAGGAAGGAAAGGAGTCAGGCTGCTGATTAAGGACTGAAAAGCCTTTGCCAGTACGATGGCATTTTTAGCCTTCTAGGCCAGGGGTCTCCAACCTTGGCAACTTTAATCCTGGCGGACTTCAACTCCCAGAATTCCCCAGCTAGCAAAGGAATTCTGCGAGTTGAAGTCCACCAGGTTTAACGTTGCCAAGGTTGGAGACCCCTGCTCTAGGCAACCCTTGTGTCAATTAAACAAGTCAGAATACTCAGCTGATGGATCTCACTGATAAAACTTACTCAAACAGACAAGATGTAGATAAAAGGATGGCTTTCAGTGCACTTATTTTCCTTTTTTGAACTGTAATCTATTTCAGGAGATGTATCTGATTTGTGGCAATCGAGTAATTTGGCAACTGTGGAGAAGGAATGGGTTCCATTTCTGTGTTGTGATAAAAGAAGCAAGATTGTTCTGTATTATCTATAATACATCATGATATAATATACGGCAACATAGTGATAAAGTCAAAGCTATTCCATTATTTCTGTTTCTTTCCACAGTGAATTATTTTGTTCCTAAACAGGATGTTAAAATGAATGTTAAATTGAATTTGCTGGATTGGTTATACCCATAATTTATTACACTCGCATGCCACCTGACTCTCAATGACTCTGGATAGCTCACAACAATCAAAGAAATTACAATAAAATCAATAAAAGATGGAAAGCATGAGGGTCCAGATGAGGGTGGGGGTCACATTCCCTCATCAGAAGTCTGGGTGAAGAGCCAGATCTTCACAGATCTTTAAACAACAGTAGAGTTGGGGGTGGGATTGTCATCTAGATCTGTAGGAAACCTCTTTCCAGAGGTACTCATTGCTAAGAAGAAGGTGCACTTTGGGGATCGTGAGAAATTACATTATTTAATCAAAGGAACTTGGAGTGTGCCATGGACCAAATTGGCTAGGCAGATGTTATGGGAGATGGGTGGTCCCTCAAGTAACCAGGCCATGGACCTTTGCCAATGTAAACATTTTTATAAGTAAAATGTTATCTGCTATGTTTCACAATTGTTCCATTACACATTTCCTGAAAATAAAATTACGTTAAGGTGATGTTTTGTTGTTCATCTGAGGTTGTATTTAGGTGGGTAAAATGAGGAGCCAGATTGTTGGGGGCAATATGCTGATTTCTGTAAACCACTTACAGAGGGCTGTAAAGTATCGTGAAGTGGTATATAAGTCTAAGTGCTATTTCTATTTATCTAATTTTAAGAGTGGTGTTAAGGTGTAAAGTCAAGTAGCTTTGTTTCTTGTTTTCTTCATCAAATGGAAAAGTAACTTTAAGAGATATAATTCTGTTATGGTAACTACCAATTGATGACTACAAATGTCCCTTGTGTGATACATAACAAACAACAGCAAATAGGATGCTGTGGCAGCAGCTTTGCCGATTTTGTGGAAATGGAACAATATTGATGATGTTACCTAGTTGAGTATTGAAACATTTACAAGAAAACAATCTAGAGCACCAAGGACCCCCAGTTCAACCCTGAGTTATAAATACCTTTTTCTATTGGCAACAATACTCCATATTTTTCTTCTGACAGGCAGATGGGAAATTTTGAAAGTTCTGAGATACTGTATGGGATATTTGCCATTTCCCACAGAGCTACATTATTATCCCCAAAGGATTTGGAGCCATTTGGGCCTGATTTGAGAATTGCATTTTGCCTTCATCCTTGAGCCTGCCTCTTACTGATTTCTGAAGGATAAAAGTTATTTATGCTTATCCACAAGCCAGTTAAGATGGTACTCTGCTTGGGTTTAAGCCAGTGGTTTTATTGCCCTTGAAGAAACCAAATTGTCTTATAAGCGAACATTATAATTTTAGCAATTTCTGATTAATCCCTGAAAAGGTTTGCTGATTTTAACTGCTTGTAATTTGAAGTAGTCATTTAAAGTTATTGCATTTGTTTGTTACTTATCTTTAATATCTGAGAAAAAACTATTGTGTTGTTTTAATAGATGTGTTTGGATCAAGAATCGTGGATCTCACTAGTGGTGGGATTCAAAAATGTTTAGTACCGGTTCTGTTGACATGGCTTGGTAAGCGTGGTATGGCTTGGTGGGCATGGCAGGGGAAGGATACTGTAAAATCTCCATTCCCTCCTGATCAACTGGGACTTGGGAGGCAGGGCCAGTCAGAGGTGGTATTTATCGGTTCGCCAAACTACTCAAAATTTCTGCTAACGGTTCTCCAGAACTGGTCAGAACCTGCTGAATACCATCTCTGGAACTCACCTTCCCCCAAAGTTGAAAAAGTTGTTTTATAATCTTCTATTAATTAACTTTTGACTTACTTCAAGTAAACACATATATATCTCTCTCTATTTCTCTCTCTCTCTCTCTCTCTCTCTCTCTCTCTCTCTCTCCCCCCCTTTATCTATCTACCTATCTATCTAACTACTCTCTCTCTCTCTCTCACTACCTTCCTATTGTATTTCTCTCTGCCTCTCTATCCCTCTATCTACCTACATTTTTTCTTAATTTGCCCCTTCAAAATCTTATACTCTGGTGCGTCTTATATTCCTAAAAATACGGTACTTGCATGAATGTATATCTTCATGCAAAATCAAGATTATTATATAGATACAATTTTAGAATGCTTGCGTGCAAAAAAAGAAAACTTGATTCAGATGTAAATATGAAACATTTAAACTTTAGATGTTATAAAAAGTTTCCTTTTGAAGTGTTTTACTATGTACATTATGTTCCTTTATTGCATTACGCTTTACTAAGCCATTTTTTAAAAAACTCTATGTGTGCTACATTATTCACAACCTTTGGATCTGGTTACAGGGTTTCCAGACCTTTCAACCTCTTTGACTCTAGAGAGTGGTGAGGTATGTGGATTTGTTCTTGGAATAATCTGGGGTCATGTCTTCCAATTTGCATACTTCAGAAAATACACTTAAGTAGTGTATTTTCAGATAGTTTACAGCCCATTTACAGATAGTTCCATCTGTAAATGGGCTGAAGAAGTTTGAAAAGGTCTGGGAAGGGTTATATAGAAAATATTCTAGAAATGTATAGAAAAGCCTGATGCTCCTTCTGAAATGTTGACTGAAAGTAAAAAAGGAAGGCCAGAGTAAAACAGGGAGGAAGTTGGTTTAAGGTCGCTGTCTGACTGTTTAGTTTTTGGCATCTTCTAATCCACACGAACTAGTGTCTCCTTCAGAGTTGTGCCCAGAATAAACTTTTGCAGCTGCATTTTCTTGAAGGACTGAATGGATGTGGTTATACAGGCTACCTATGCCTATTTAGAAATGAAAGGATGGAAACAATTATGAGTGGAAGAAGGGACCGGCAGGGGAAATCCTCTTTGTTTCTTCCATGCATTTGAAATGACCACATAACTACAGACTTTTAATCTCCTTTTAAGCTTTGCAGTCATAAATTATGGAATATATAAACCACACAAATATATTCAGCTTCCATTCCCTTTGTTCAGGGATGTGAAGTTAGCTTAATAACGCAGTAAAGAAAGAGGCTGGTGTTGTGATCTAATCTTTTTTTTAATCATTGGTTTCTGCATTTATTGGGATTTGTAACATATAATAGATCGAATGCTGTGTTTTATATGGAACAAACACTAATGGTAGTTCACACTCACTTTTTATCATGTGAAATTTGTATTGAATGTAATGAAATAATTAGAGTCGTGTTCCCTGACTTTTATGACTTCAGCTTCATCCCACTGGGCATCTTCGCACAATATTAGGTAACCAGCATCCACTGTTCTGGATAGAAGAATGTTGGATTGCAACATACCTCTTTGGAGTTAATGGTGATTCAACAATATCTAGAAGGCCATATCTTGCCCATATTTTCATTCATGTCTTACATATTTATATATTATATCACTGGTTTTCAACATCACGTACCCAAAAGGGATACATTTTAACAATTTTAAATATGATGAAAATATGTTTCTGAAGAGGTTGTTTTTAGTTTATTACCCCTATGGGATTTGAACTCTTAATTACATGGTGATTAGCTAAGAGGCCAGCTCTAAGCTACAGAGGTCTAGAGCTGGTCTTTCACCATGGGACAGAGAAGCAACTAAAGTTATGATTTACTGTAAAACGGACACGGTTATTATAATCGGGTGGTTGCATTTACCTTCCTTACGGTTTGCAAATGTGTGTGTGTGCACACACTAACTTTGCTCGCATATACCCCATCCATGCATGCATCTGGCCTTCTGCGCATGCGCTTTGCTAAAAAAAAGTCCCTAACTAGGACGAAATAGAGCCAAGTGGGTGGGCAGGCGCATAAGCAATTTCTGCTACCGGTTCGGGTGAACTGGTCCAATCTGGTAGAATACCACCTCTGGTTATAATTTACCATGAGAAACAACTTATTATTTACTGTGGGCAAAGCTTGTTATCACAGCATTAGCCTTAAATGAGGCAACCATAGCTTTCTATGCTTATTTCTTTTATAGTTATTTCATAGTTTTCTTGCTTATTGCTCAGCCAATTTTTCAGGAGAGGCAAACAGAAAGGGTTTAAAAAAATGCATCATTTGGTCCCATCACCTTGTTTGCATTTTTTGCTTCCTATAGGATGAAAAATATACTTTCAAGATAAGAATCAATGGTTTTCAAAGCGCTTGGAAGTTTTTACTTTCCTATCATTAGCCTTTCGTTGATTGTTTCCTTCCGTTTTTCTGCAGTGTTTTGACTACGGGACGGGCATGTTGACTGGGGATCTTTGTGAAGACTTATGTGTGGCCCAGACTTTGACCTATAAACGCTGCCTTTATTATGACCAGGGGAAGAAGGTCATCCAAGCTGACTGGAGAGGCCGCCCTGTGATCCTAAAATCAAAAAACGAAATATTCTCTAGCTACCGTGGTCTTGGATTTTTGGAAGAAATGGAATCACAGGGAATTCCGGAAACAGAGCTGCTTCTGATGGTTGCTTTGGAAGTCAAGAACACCTTGGGTTTGGAACTTCCTAACAAAACTGTGGGACCTTTGTGGAAGAAAAGAGGCCCACATTGGAAAGCACAGCTGGCTAGTTTGTGGTCTTTACTTCAACAGGAAGAGTACATTTATTTTAGTGTTTTGCAGGACATCAGTAAACACGTTCTAAGGGTGATTGGTTCTTGTGGCCACTTTTATGCGGTGGAATATCTGACAGCTGGACACGCCTGGCACAGCACCCTTTTCTCCGTGGAAGATGCTGTTGGTGCTTCCCTATCTGGGATTAAACACAAGGCCAAAGCCATAATCCAAATTGCAATCAGCTTCTTGGATATGGTGAATCATTTTGACAACGACTTTTCTTATCCTCTTCATCTCTGTGATATTAAGCCGGAAAATTTTGCCATCCGGAATGATCTGACGGTAAGTTAGGACCAGGCTTTTCATAACTAAATACAGAGTTTATTGTCATAACGAAAGTTGTGAACACCAGTGGGTTGACTGGGTATCTTTGTGAAGACTTATGTGTGGCACAGACTTTGACCTATATTATGATCAGGGTAATAAGGAAATCTTGTTAATTGTTCATCTCTTTGTTGAGAGCAAGGCAACAGTTTTCTAGATATTGCCAGCATAATACATTAGACCAGACTATGAAATTTTGCTATTTAAAACTCTGCCCTTTACATTTGGGCTGTTCTAATATTCTGCATTTGTTAAGAGTCTCTTTTTCTATGTGCTGTTCTACGGTGTCAGCAAGAATTTTCTTGAATATATAAGCTATTTGCAAAAAATACTGATGGCAGGTTGAATAAGTAGAAGCTATGCAAAAATGTTGACCTGCTTCTGTTTCAGATTGCAAGAGACCAGACTTGCCTTCTACCTGAATATCTGACCACACTTATTCTTCTCTTGTGCTCCCTTCTCCTTGCCCCCACTACATCAAACACACACTTTCAGCCTTACATAGTCATTAAAGTTTCTGATTGTGGGTTCCCATCCTACATTTTTTATGTTTCTACTTATATTTTAAAAATACATAAGTATTTCGAGCACAAGCTATCACCTTGTGCAAAGGTAATACTGGTTTGGTTGTATAAGAAATAATTATTTGGCGCTCCAACATCAGAAGTATGTAATTATGAAAGTGAAAAAGAGTGAAGATTCTCACTTGTAGATTCCATCTCCTTGGAAGTAGAAATCCCAGTCTCCAACATTTTCCAAAGATATTATAAATGTATAACCTGGATGGCAATTGGGGAATGTGTGTTATAGTTACATACCAGGGGTGGGTTCCTGCCAGTTCTAACCTCTTCTATAGAAGAGGTTCCACAAATCTACCATGCTGTTTAGAACCGGTTCCATCTCCCTCCCCATGCCCGTCCGCACCATGCTTGCCCTGCCCGCCACTCATTGATTGGCTGGCTCACCAATCGCCCCGCCCACATCTAAGAGTCCTATCTAACCCTTAAAGTCTTAAAGCTGTCAAGTTTGAACATCCCTGGGGTTTTTTTTCTAAAGAGTTAGGGGTACAAGGGTCTTGTAAGTTGTAGTTTTAAAACTTGCATGCTTCAAATGCCAGAGTTTCTGAGCCAACATTTTGGTTGCTAA